TTTTTTTTTTTTTTTTCCTTTTTGTCTTTTTTACTGTCCGGTAACGGGATCGCAACCCTCGGTGTTGCGCCTGCACCGGGGACCGGCAACGGGATCGCAACCCTTGGTGTTGCACCCGCACCACGCTCAACCAGTGAGCGGGAACCGGTCTCCACATGGGATCCGAACCCTCGGCGGGAGCGCCACCGTGCTCCCAGGAGGCACACTCTCCAGTGTGCCACTGGGCCAGCCCTGTTCTTTTGTCTTTTGACAAGTCTAAATGTTAGAAAACTTTATTGAAGACTTGGGCTGTAGCCTTGGTTTCGAGTATGCACCCTGAAGAGAATAATTGGCCTTGGTTTGTGTGTCTATGAAATGCAAGGTGGGACAAGGTACATTTTAAGTTTCCTTCAAGCTCTAAGAACCACTGTTCGTAGCCTCGATGGAACTTAGATTTCCTATATAGATGACCACCCCCTGGTTATAATTATGTGTCCCCTCTGTGTGGCTTCGTACATTGGATGATGCGATCATGACCCACCCACCCTCCTGCTGCTCTTCTCCTTCCCCTTCCTAAGCCTTCTCTTCTGCACATCTACTGAGGTGAAAATTTGGTCTATGCCATGCCCATTTCCTACTTTAGTGTATGGTGCTCATGCAGGAACTGTTTTCCTTGGGCTGGAGACAGGTCTGGCTATAGGATGGGAGCAAAAACTTTACAAGCTGATGTCAGATTCAGTGTTGGTCAGAACCTTTCAGGTGCTGGTGACAGAACACTCAACTCAAAACGACTAAAGCAGGGGCCGGCCTGGTGGCGCACTGCTACAGTGTGCGGCTTGGGAGCGCGGCGGCCCTCCCGCCGAGGGTTCGGATCCCACATACAGACCGGCCGCTCNGGTGCGGGCGCAACACCGAGGGTTGCGATCCGTTGCTGGTCACGAAAAAAGACAAAAAGGGGGAAAAAAAATGACTAAAGCAAAGAAAGGAATCGAGTGCCTCTTTTGCCTGGAAATGCACAAGTAGGTACTACTGGCTTCAGGCAAGGCTTGAGTCAGGACTCAATCTATGGGACAACACTTTTCTTTTGGCCAGAAGTCCTCAGGGTTGGCAGCTGCACAGTGCTGACAGCAGTAAACTGTTCCCACCTTGTCACTGATATACTTTACTCCTCTGGCCCAGAAGACAAGGAGATCACGTCAGGGACTGAAGCTGTTCCGAGGGATCACCGGGCTCTTCTGTGCCTTGGGGGAGTGGCTCTAATACCTTTTAAAATTAAGCTTTGATACTTTTTCTCTCTCTTTTTTTTAAGGTTTGATACTTTTTAAATTAAGGGTTTTTTTGTTTGTTTGTTTGGTTTGGGGTGGCTGGCCACTACCAGGAAGCAAACCCTTGACCTTGATGTTTCAAGGCTGCACTCTAACCAATGAGCTAAGGCCAGTCCCTTCAGGTTGTGAGCATCTTTATGTACCCGAACTTTTTTCTTCTTTTTTTTTTATCATTAAAAGAAACCCTGTATCTTTTATTTAAAAAAAAAATTTTGGGGCCG